AACCTATACCAAAAATTCTGCCTGCATGAGTGGTTATATGCTCCCTCCTCCTTATATATTTAACACATATCTTGCTATACTATTGAATTCGACGTTCAGTTTTTGCGTACAACTACTATCACAGTTTGCAAATAGCTCTACGCCATAAAAAAGTGTTGGTATCAAGTGTTTTAGCAACTAAGAGACGAATATTTTCTGGAAGGTAACGTTGTGTCATGTTTAAAGTTCTTAGCAAACCATAGGTTCTACCACGACCTTAGTCCCATGTAAGCCGCTTTAAGCCAAGCCCGTTAGCGTGTGTGATGTTGGTTCTAAGCGTGGTTAGTAATTCGACTCCTTGGATTAGTAGGCATTTAGATTTAGTTGGGTTTAATCCTAGACCGTTATTGTTTGCCCAACTGTTTATGTTTGTTAGTTCCCTATTGGTTATTATTGCACAATCATTTATGTTATTTACGGGACGGCATACATACATTTGGACGTCATCAGCATATAAATGGACTTCACACTCAGCCAGTACGTTGGGAAGGTCATTTACATAAACAGTAAACAATAATGGTCCAAGGAAGGATCCTTGCGGAACTCCTCTCGTAGGGGACAGAGATGACGAGTACCCAAATTTTGTGACTACAGATTGTGATCGATTTGTCAAGTATGAATGAATTAGTTCGGTTGCAGTGCTGTCCAGTCCATATAGTCTTTGTAGTTTTGTACACATAACCTCGTGGTTGACGGTATCGAATGCTTTGCTATAGTCTAATAATGTCAAGAATGCAACCTGTCCTTCATCAATTTGTTTACGGATGTCTTCAGTGACTTTAAGGATTGCAGAGATACAGCTCCTGTTTTTCCTAAGCCCCGATTGTTTTTCATTAAGCACTTTATTACTTGCCATATAGTTACTAAGAGCTTTTGAAAGAAAAGGCAAAATGGCAATCGGTCTAAAGTCATTATTTGACTTCGGTATTGGGATTATTTTGGCTGCTTTCCAGGCCTTAGGAAATGACGAGCTCATTATTGCACTATTAAAGACATGTGTTATATATAGTATTATCTTTGGTAGCAGTGGTTTAAGAAATTTGGGATTTATATCATCTGGTCCTGTTGCACAAGATTTAATTTTAAGAATCGACTTTACAACATTGAGACACACATTCAAAGCTAAATCTATTATCACAGTAAATATCACAGTCAAGGTATACGTTATTTAGTACAGTAGGTACGGTAGATTGCACAAATTTTCTGTTCAAATCATCAAGGTCTATATCCCCTGTGGTGATTTCGGCATCTGTTTGCCGATACCGAGTGAATTTATTTCCTGCCATAGCAACAGCTAGTTGAAATGATTTCATTAAATTAGGTCATGTAATAGTTAGTTTTAGCTTTCTTAATGCTATTCTGCACTTTGTGTCTCGCTTCCTTAAACATGGCGTAGTGATGGCTTGTCTTGTATCGTTTCCATCGCTCATAAGCAACATTTCGAGCATTTATTAGCAATTTTATATTGTCAGAAAACCAGGGCTTTAAATACGGCCTAATTGTGCGTGATTTAGTTGGTACAAATTTGTTTTAAAGGTTATTATGAAGTAATGAAACTTGTTCGTCCACTGAGGTTGTAGCAAGGATTTATTTCCAGTCCAGTTGGTCACATTCAGCACTTAACGAAACATAGTCAATATTTTTAAAGTCCCTGTAATATATTTTTTCGGCAGAGTTTTCGAAGTAAACATCATACGTCAGAAATACTAAGTCATGTCTAGAGAATACTGGCACAGAAATTTGGTCATATAATAAAATACTTTGACGACAACAAACAAAAAACAAAAAAACAACAAAAAATACGTCAAGCAGGGTGTCAGTACTTTGTGAGAAGTCAGTTGGGTTGTCAGAGTTTGCAGCATGGTGCTGGTGCTCTTTCAGCATGTTGCTATTTAGGTCACCTATGATTACTACATTGTCATACCCTAATGATATTGTGTCCAGTATTGAGATGGCTTCCGAAAAGTCTGTTGTGCGATTTGGTCTGTAAATGCTGCCAATAAGTAACCTGGACGCTTGTCTGGCTCCCTTTTTTTCGAGAAAGATATACTCTATTAGGCTCTCGTTGGTGTGCTTACTTATTACATCAGATGTCAGGTTGGACTTAACATAGATTGCAACACCCCCAGGATGTCCCTCACGGTCCGAACGAAAAACATTGTATCCGTCACACGCAATCATAACATCACAGATATTATATGTAAGCCACGTTTCAGACACACAGATGACATCAACATTTGAGTTAGTAAAAAGGTACCTGAATTCATCCATCTTCTTGGTAAGACTTTGAGCATTAATATGACAAATATTTATTCCTGAGTGTTGCTTGCTAAGTATACGGATTAATGCATGACTGCTCGCCTTTGAAGTCCTGTTACTCTGCATTTTGCAGTTAATTTATCCATAATTAAGAGACGCATAGACAAATTCAAAGAGATATTCAACTTACACCTTAAAAACGTACATAAAAACTTAAAGTTACAAAGGAGAAAGAAATGCAGTAAACTCTTAAGACTAACATTAAATACATAAAGAGAATGGAAAGAGAGACATTTAGCTACGAAAGCTCCCTTGTTGGTCGTGTTCTGGGTGATGAGATTGAGATGCATACATGGACAAAAGCTCTTGCATGCTACTAATGCGAACGTAGTTATCGCTCCCAGCCTCTCTCACATGAACAGCGGAGCGGCGCGTAAATACTGCGGTGAGCTTTTTTGCCTCTTCCCTTTCATAGCTTCTTTGAAAATTTCATATTGAGCTTTTGTAAGTTGCTCGTTAACATAGAATGGATCGTGTGAGTCAAAACCCAGCAGCTGTAAGCTCAGCGGCTGTTTTTCTGTTCTCCGATATGCCCCAATTTGTCGCCCCAATCCATTTTAACTATAATTGTGGGATCAACAATAGTGCCGTTCGATGCCCTCTGTTGCCTTATTCGGAAAATATCCCTCATTTTTGGCGGAGGCGTAAGATTAAGTGAAAACAGAGTGTATGAAAGATAGTTTTTAAATTTTCGCCGTCAACAAACGGGACTCCGTGCACTAGGACGTCAACTGCGACCCCATCCATTGCCTTCACCTCCAGCTTCTGCTCAAAACGCGCTTCCAGTGCCAATGTTTGAGCCTTTAGAGTGCCATTCTCGGATGCCTCCGTCTCCAACTGCTCCACACGCTTGGCCAGGCGCTGGAGCTCCTCGTTCAGTTTGGAGACGTGATCTTGGAGCTCACCCAGAATACGCTGTTCGGTCTCCCGTATGAGTTGTGCCTGCTCCCCAAACTTTTCGTAGATAATCTCCAAAAGTCGGGGTGAAGGTGCATCAGTGCTGCATCGCTGCACATCGGCAGCAGCGCTGTCCCGTGGGCGTTTTTGTGGTGGTGCCATCGTTGTTTGGAGTGTGTTTTGAGTGTTTATTTACTTTGTTTCTTTTCTCTGGTTGTCCGTATTGAGTGCTTTCTGTATTACTTGTGCGTATCAGTGTAACTTGGAGTGTTTGTATATTAGCGTCTAGTTTGAATGTATGTGGCGGCGTCTAACGCGAATTCAATTTTCTGTTTAAGGTTGCTGCCGTGTTTATTTTTGTTTGCCGTGAATTCAGAGTGAAGAGTTATCAATCGATTGTACTTTGCAAAAAATTCAAACGAGTAAAGTTTAATATTTAGTATTGAATTTGCAACTTTCTTAGAGCGGGGCAAGAAACACGTCCGATGACTTTCCGATATTTTTGTGTTTTTATTTAAAACGAGAAGGAACGTGTGGGGGACGCGACTCTACTTATACCCGTACTTAGTCAGTATATACATTTTTGAGCATAAGATTTTTTAGAATTTTAGAATTAAAAAAAAAATTTTACATTTCTTTTCTACATCTGATATCTACATATACAATGTATATTTTACATCTAACATGTAGATTATATATGTACCATTTATATTCTACATCTCCTTCGCTAGGGGTTGCTCGCGCACTGAACGCGGCAGAGTGTGCGAGCGAGAAGGAAAATGAGTTGCGTTGTCGTTGGCAGGAAGGGGCAGGGGAAGTAACTGAAAACTAATTTCTTCATTCTGGCTATAATTATGATCCGATCTGATTCAGATTCGGCAGTCTGGTAGATATGATCACTCTCTACGATATCATATCTTTAAAATTGTGCCTGCCACAGGTTTTCGTTCTTTGTGGCGGCGGAAGGGGGCGGGGCGAAATTTTGAAATACACTTGTAGCAGTGTGATATCACATGAGTCTGGAAACCAAATTTGGTTGCCCTAGCTCTTGTAGTCTTTGAGATCCAGGCGTCAAACAAGACGGACAGACGGTCAGACGGACAGACAGACATGGCTCTATCGACTCGGCTATTGATGCTGATCAAGAATATACATACTTTATGGGGTCGGAAACGTTTCCTTCTCTGCGTTACACACATCCACTTTTACCACAAATCTAATATACCCCTTAACTCTTTTTTGAGTACGGGTATAAAAAATATAATTATATATTAATTCCTGTTTGTTAACGGATTTTTCCATTGGAAAAATTTTTTGGAAAAAATACCGCACAAAAATAATCAATTTTGCAACTGCAATTTTGCAAGCTTAATATTTCTCAGACGGAAATCTGAAGCTACAAAATCTTTAAAATAAGTTCTGCCGTAGAAACAAAAATCATTTTAAACAATTTCAAAGCCCAAAATCTATTAAGTCAGTTGGGAGAAGTATTCTAAAATTAAAATAAAAACATTTATTCTGTCAAAACTTACTAATTAAAATACTGATTTTCTTGTGGATGTATTTCTTTCACGTAGTTTTTCTAAAACAACTATTTAGAAAAACTATGTTTTAGTCTCGAATGCTGGCGTAAGACCTTCAATGCGAGATTTTTACGAGCAAGTTTCTCTGACCCTGGGTACGCCTTTGTAACACATAAACAAATTTGGAACCGCCAGAACCCCAAAAATTTGGTTAACTGCTAGTTTTATTAGATGTTAGTGTCTTTTTTTTATTTTGTTTGAAACCTACGATAAAAAAAGTTAACATTATGTTACAGACTTAATTTAAACAAAGATGGCTCGACTTAATTTGGATACAGAATATCATAGTGACCAGGTCTATATATTAGGTAAATCGTCGGCTCTGTTCCTTCAGGAAAATCATGGGCTTTAACAATACAACCTTCTCCTCTGTCTAGGTATTCCACCCGTACACCAGCACCAAGAGCTGCACATAGTGCAATTATATGGATATGATCAGATTCTTTGAACATAGGTTCAACTTCTTGATGACGAAACTCTTCAATAGTGAAATCGCCCTCAATAAAATTTTGATAAAACTCTGCCTCTTCTTGTAGTTTTCCAGATGTTATTAAACGTAAATAAACAACCACGTAATCTGAATAACCCTGCTCATTGAATATTTTGTGCAGCTCATTTTGAACTTTATTGTGACCCCCTGGGTTATCTGGACTAACGCGTCTGATAACTTCCATAAACTGAAAAAGGGAAAAGAAAAATTTAATTTATTGGATTATTTAGCTTAAATTGAATATGGTAAACTTACCGTTTCGTGAAAGTCTTCCAATGTAAAACTAGGAAAGCCTAACTCAACAAGCTTGTCTTTAGAATCTTCTGCCAACTTTTGGAATTCTTTATATGCACTGGTATTTGAAATTAAATACTCCATATATGAGTAAGCAAAAGCTCGAAAGAAGCAGTTTCCATCAGGGCGAGTGCGTCTGATAAACTTATACTTTTTAGCTAAATCTTGAATTTTTGCAGTAAAAACGTCATCGCCATTATACTCGGCCCAAAGACACGTTAAAGGTAATAGTTCACCGACTAAGGGGGTGGAATCACTTATCTGTAGTTAAATCATGTTAGATTAATGAAATTTTATTCGGCACATATATACCTACTTCCTTTTCAATATCCCGTTGTTGTTGTATGATTAATTCATCACGATTACCGTCATTTTGTTTAAAGGATTCCATTTTTCTAAAATTAATAGGATCGGCGTTTAATAATGTACCTTTCCAAGAGGTCAAAAGTTAAATTTTATAGAAATTTTTTGGTTTCCATTTATAAGCCGCATAAAATAAAACACACACACATAAGAATAGAAACGTATAGGCACATTGATCCTAGAGTTGTCACAGATAAAATATTGATTTAGCTCTGATAATAATTAACGAGCCAAGCTAGCGTCAAAGCTGAGAGTCGATTATGGAACTGTGGAAATAGAAATATGCATTAATCATATATGAAAGGGGACGGCAGCGTCGGCATAGGAAAAATATATAGGGCAGCGCAGTCGGCAAACGCACAGTGTAAGCACTTCTGGTTGGGTTAATTCTTCTGCTCGGCTTCCGCGGCGACAGATAAGCAAGCAATGCACAAACGGCTTCATATTCTGCTCGGCTGCCATAGCGGCAAAGAATAGAATCAGCTATTTTCATATATGATTCTGCACTTGAAAACTTTTTCAACATCCTGTGGGAATTTCTCACAAGGAATATATTTTTCTCTTATGAAAATATAGATTTCGCGCGCAAATCTTGTTTATATTATTATGCTTTATAGCCTTTTCACACTGGCGACCATCCATTTGTGGGATGGTCCGTAATAGCGTTTTTACACCGGGCCGCAGGCCGCATCATTAGATTTTTCCGTTATATGGAACATGCGACAATGATGCCCATAAGGGCCCTGTGGATAGAAGAAGACAATGATGCGGCCGCATCTTTAATCATGCGGCGCATCATTGGCAAGTGTTGCCGTACTCTGTCTGGCATTTTTACAAAATACTGAAATTATTCGGGCTATCGGGGAATCGACATCAAACAACTATCAAACAGTAGATTCAATTTAATGTTTAAATATGAGCAACACGGACTCCTCTTTAACAAGCACCATAAACAATTGGGTGCTAGTAGTGAAACTCCCAAATGCACCGTTTTTCATACTTAAAAATAAATCGCTCATTATATTGATAATTTCTTTAAATTTCAATAAAAATGCTTTTGCTGTCTTCTTCCTGCTCACCGAGTTTGTTTACATTAGTAGTGTGCCGAACAGCTGACAGATGCATCGAAAAAGATGCGGCTTTGGTGTAAAAGCCACGCATCATTTTTCCGCACCTTCGACAATGATGCGGCAGTGTAAAAAGGATATTGGAGGAAGTTGGAGAAGAGTAAATCCACTGCGGTGACGCTATCGCTACTGAAGGAAACTCCGCCAACATAGGTTGTTTGACCATTTTCCCAACTACTTATGTTGAACGTACGTGCGGAATTACGGACGTCCGGATTTATTCATCAAGTTCACTTGCATTCCGAAATGGCCCGAAATTACAATCTGTCGCTGAGAGGAAAAGCATCCAGCGATCGACATGATATCACTGCACGAGTATTCAAACAAAGGATCAAAGTACTCATAAATTACATTGTTAAGGAAACTCGATTGAATGGCAAATGCGTGGTTTACCACACGCACACATTTTGCTTTGGATGTTCGACAAGATTCGACATGCCATATATGCCAAAATATCATGTCCAGAAACTGATCCGGAATTGCATTTCATTGTGACATCGAACATGATCCATGGGCCTTGCGAGTCGACAACCCATACTCACCGTTTATGGAAAACGGGAATGGCACAAAGCGTTTCCCAGTCCATTGGTTAACGACACAATCAGTGGATAAAATATGCCGCTAGTATAAATTATAATTTTTATATATATTTAAATAGAACAAACATATGATATTAATTTTTAAAATTAATGTTATATATATGGTATCTTTCGTAACAAAGGTTTCAAAAGGTAAAAAACAACAACAAAACATCTGATATTTCAGAATTGTCTCAGGCACAAAAACTCGGTTTGGGACTCTGGGGATCACAGTCACAACCATTGCAATATTAATAATATTCATTTAAATTATACAAGTAAACAAATTTTCATCGCACGCAATTGTGAGCATCAGCTGTTTCTCATGGATGGTGGATGGAGTTTCACATCTTTAAAAAATTCCCACCATTCTCCCGGGGTGGGCTCAGTGTTCTGAGGGCATTAGTGTTTTAATGGCATTTTAAATTTTCTTCTTCGAAAACAAAAAAAAAAAATATCCGTGAATCAGGAAGAGACAACATTTTTACCCCAGACCGATATTGATATCGATGTTTTATTGGTCAAATGGGAATTCGCAATTTTTTGTTGCTTAGGTTTATTTTGGTGAGGTAAAATTTGGGTGCCATTAGAAATAAAATTATTAAGTCAGGGGTGCCACAGAAGTCAATTCCGCTGGAAAATCACCTAAATTCCATTCCGCCGTGCCACACACCGATTTTTCAGCGGAATCAAAATCGCTCACAACTTATCCAGCGATTTGATTAAATTCACCCTTAAAACACACCCAAAAAAACTTTCCCATAAAGGTTGTTCAATTGGTGATTAACTCTCATCCAACTAATTTAACATTATATATGTTAAGTTAATAAAATAAGCATAATAGTAAATCACTATCCAATCCGCTGACTGAATTTTCACTTAACGATTCCGCACTCAATACGCTGCAGTCCGAGGTGCCCACCTAGGCGATTCGGACTTTCGAAGTTAATACAGTAATGCCACCTTTTTTATGCCGAATTCGGAGCAAGATATTTAATATAAATTATATTGAAAGCATTCTGTTTTTCTTTAATTAAGCATTAACAAAAATAGCTGTAAATTTGTAGTCATTTGTAGTTCTACCAGGTGGCATCGCTTCAAAATGCCAAAACAGAATTAACAAACCATTTCTACACATTATTGCCACTGCATTTATGTCAAAAACCCCTGTTCGGCTAAGTGCAGCATGGGTCTGCAGCACAAATATAAGCATAGCGATCATAATACCAAAAACTGGTAGTTGTAATGTAATAAATTAGCAGTAGTTTGAGAAGACAATCACAAAAACCACATACGTATCGTCTGAACGTGAAATCGTGATTCAGCTCATTGCTGCCATGCATGGAGAGTGGCCAGACAACTGCTAGAGTTGCCGAGTACATTGTTTTGTTTGACTCGCACGATATGGGTGTCCCCCCCCCCCCCCCGCTGCCCGGCCCGCCCGCGCCCCCCCCCCCCCGAACCGGGGCGGGCCGGGGAACCTTCCTTTCCCCCCCCCCCCCGGCCCCCCCCCCCCCCCGCGACCCCCCCCCCCCCCCCCGAATGGTGACATCTCAAGAGTGGCCCATGTTTTTTTGCTTTGAAATTATAAAAGTACAGCTTTGAAAAATCAATATTTTTTTATCATAAAAGAAAAAAATAAAAACAAATTGTTTTGATATGATAAAATAAATAAAACTGCAAAATGAAGCCTATTCGAATTGAATCCTGAAAGGTGTCAGCCCTAGCCTTAGTTCGAATTTGGTTTGTGACAATGCTAAGAAAAATTAAATCACTCGGAATTCTGTGGCACGGCGGAAATCCTCTGCGCGGTATCCAAATTCACTAGTGATTTCTGTGGCACCTCTGAATATATAAGGATATACGAAAATAAATTTTCAATTATACAAATATACAATTTTTTTAAGATGCTATAACCGGAGCATGGCTGTATATAAATATAAACCTATACATGCCAGTTCATACAAGCGAAACGTCCCAACATAATTAACTGCAAACGGTACCAAGTATTCGGCTCTGGTAGCTGACAGCAGCTTGAGCGTTTATGGTATTTTAAATACTTTATGGCATTTTTTGATGCCAAAATTGACTGTCATAGTCGAAGATTGGTTCTAAGCTCGAGATATTATTCATTAATTGAATTATAATATGCCTGCTATTAGACGATCAAACCTAGGACGACGTACACGTCGTGAAATAAGTAATCGGAATGTCTCTATTAATCTAATGCAAGAGGAACGTGCTCGCTACACAATAACCAGCTCAAATTCGACCAGTAGACTTGAATCGCGCTGCTTTTGAATACGATTGCGCAAGAGCCTACCAAGATCTTCGCTGCGTTGATATCGGTTCATTGTCTGTCGTATGCCAACATTGCAATGCATTAAAGTTTCAATCGGAAACCCCCGGCATATGCTGCGCTGGTGGAAAGTTAAAATTTTGACTCATCCGCCAGACATGACAAATACAATCCAATCAAAACATTTCCTGGCGTCATTTTGAGCCTAAGCCGAATCTGAGTTATAAGGTAATGGCGTCATGAACAATTCTCATTTTAAAACATTCGGATTCAAGGGCAAATTCACAATCGAGCGCGCGCTTTGATACGAAGATCATAGGTTCCTTCAGATTTATTTCGTTAGAGACTTGTTGCAGTTTTTACTGCGACTAAATGAGCATAATGTATTGGTCAGATTTTTCAAAACCGCATTGGATACAATGCATTCTGACGACCACAAAATCATTATCAGAGCAGACAAAATACAAAATGGAGGCCATGCAAGACAATTCGATGCTCAAACTATCAATGAAGCCGCAGCGGTAATTGTTGGATAGATGTAGTAACACGCGATATTGTTCTAAAGCCATCCCGACGGCGGACAATTGCAATGAGTATACGAGACTAATCGGTCATATGATTCACTTCAATACCCATTGATGTTCTGTAGTGGAGAGGATGTCTATGCAACGACAGGTTTGTTTAAAACTTTTAAATTAAAAGTAACTCTGGCAGGCTCCGGTTTTCACTTTCACAAAAAAAATGTAATTTACTTGTCAAAACGAAAAGTCAGGCGCTCCCGCACTCGTAAAACGCAAGACTTTTCCGTTTTCAAAACGGCAACAAATTCCTAAACCGAAATGAAAATTAAACATCTTTTTATACAACTTTTTTTTCATTCTACAACTAGGTTAGATAAATTCATATTTCACGAGAAGAACGGAATAAGAAGGTCAGCGCAATGAATTTTTATGCGTTTCGATTGATGATTCGGCAAGAGCTTGCTTTAATTGTACTGCGTCGACATGTACGTAAAGATCGAAACGGAGCGGCTAAATTCATTCGTTTTAATCAGTCGAAGATACGATCAGAAGAGTATATCCACTGGGGTGACGCTATCGCTACTAAACGAAACGCTGCCAACATTGGTTGAATCCGGTCCGGATTTATTCATCACGTTCACTTGCATTC